TTTTTTTTTTTGTTCGCTCCACATGCCGGCCGAAGGGGGGTGGTACAATGGGCATACGGGCTCTTATGCGGGCAATTGCTTTTTATATTGTAAAATCGATAAGCGATCACATTATAAGTAAATGGGCAGGCGAGAAGAAACTCAGCAGGCAGCAGCGCCAAAGTGAGTTATATGTATGTTTGTACTTTAAAGTGCACTTAACCATAAATTCACACAGAGAGAGAGAGAGAGAGAGCGTGGGAGAGAGAGGGGAGGGAGGCTCATAAGGAGACAGCACATATGCAGTGCCTCGCGCCTTGCGTGCTCATTAATTATAAAACAACGCGTTTTACTTTTATTTCTGGGACAGCGGCGACAAGGACATGGGCAATGGAATAACAGTGACTGTAACTGTAGCTGTAACAGTAACTGGTTACAGTAATGTTTTCTTAACTCAAACATGCCCTCAACGACGCACAGCGCAGCGTATCGTGCATTAAAAATCGTTGCCATATGTAAAGGCAAAGATAACAAACGAAAGGATGAGGATGGCGCTCAGGGGAAATGGCGACTGCTGAGTGGGTAACAGCAACAACAACAATAGCGACAACGGCAGCGGCAGCAGCAACTGTCGCGATTCGAAATGCTGCTGCAGCCTTTAAGTCGTTTTCGAAGTGTGCTCGTCCACTGCGGCGTATGAGTAATGGATGCCGCAGCAGCAGCAGAGCCAACAGAGAGTGCATTTTGACCGCATCAGCTGCATCAGAAGATGAAGATGAAGAAGAGGAAGACGAAGAAGACCAGCATAATGTAAATTTCAATTGGTAAGAAGCGGCATGTGAGCAAAGAGGAAGGAAAAAGCGAATCCCTGCTGGACCTTTGGTTTACCACGAACGCAAATAAATGCAGAAGAGCGAGCGAGGGCTGCCCGAGGACATTGTGATATATTCCAACTGCAATTAGATAAGGGCACGGTATATCCAATCGAACCGAAGCAGAGACAATTGTTTAAAGATCTGCTGCGATGCATTGTTAAAATATGATTTAGGAGTTGGCAGCAGTGGGGCACAGTGGGACGAAAACAAACGACTTAGATTGAAGAGCAGGCAGCACAGATGTCTCTAAGCCTGAACTAAAGTACCTTAATTTCCTGTTGAAAAAACATTCCACTGTGCAGTAGCTTGGGCACAGATATTTAGTAAATGAAATTTAGATAAGTTAATATAGAAATTAATGTAAATGAGAAATTTAATTAATTTTTAGTTAAATAAAATGAAAGTTCTTATTCCACAGTGCAGTTCGCTGTGCACAGTGGGTTAAAAAAGAAAACAAAAAAAAAACAACTATATCGGAACCAATTTTTAGCACAACCAACATGAATTAACTATGTTAATGCACACACATTTTTATTCTCTACTGCCACAGGGCTCGCACAGTGGCACAAAAACAAAATTTTATGTTTAATTTACAGCAGCTAACATGAACAAATTCTGCGCATGTTAATATAGTTTTTTATTTGTTAAGTAAACATTTATCGTTTTGCTCCACTGTGCTGCTGGAGCACACTGGAACAAAAACAAGTGAATGACCACATAAGAGCTATGATTTAGAAGTATTAAAATTAAGAATTTGGAATATTTAAATACATATAAATATAAACATTTTATTTGCATTAATTTGGCCCTTTGCACCACTGTGCTATAGCTTGAGTTGGGTCAAGAAAACAATATTTGAGGTAAGTTTTAGACACAGCAGCGATAGGGAAAATTTTAAACAGTTTTTTTTTGGCACATAACTTCATAGTCTTATACCACTGTGCTGTAGTCAAGTGGGTCCCTGGAAAGCACGAAGTAAACGCACTAAAGCATATTTTATGGCTCACTTGCAGCAGCGGCAGCAGCAGCCCCTAAGAAGGAGAGATGGGGCGCGGCAGTCAAACGTTGAGAAGAATGATGTTGATACTGCTGCTGCTGCTGCTGCTGCTGGTGGATGCTGCTGCTGCTGTTGATGATGAGTCGCCAGCTTTGCCCCTTTTGGTTCGATTTGCCATTGGCCGCCCACTCACAGCTCTTCGGGGCCACTGGGGACTGGAGACTGTGGCAGCCTTTTCATTTCATTCTTTTTTGCTCTTTGTTTCGTTTTCTGCTTCTTCTTATTTTTTTTTTTTTTTGTTCATCGAGTCGAATGTCGCCCAATTGGCAGCCCAGGACATTGTTTAATATGCAAAACCATTTCCGCCAACATTCCGATGCGTCTCAGTTGATGGTCTTAGGGGTTTGTGAGAGAGCATGAGGGATTGCCAAAGGCTGCCAAATCAGCATGAAATGTGCTTAAAGTGGGCAGCAGGCTAAAGATGATGATGATGCTGCTGTGTAGCCTCCCCAAGGCATTTGCGGCTGCTGTGGTTGCTGCACATATTGATAACTGTTTGATTTTTTATGAGTTTATAAATTTGTGATTAGCCACAGGCTATCAGCTGGCTGCTGGCTGCCGGCGGCTGGCGGCTGGTGAGCTTTTTGATTGAGTTGCGTGGGCTGCCGCGGCTGCCTGGCGTAAATTCCAATAAAATTCTAAGCCACACAACAGCTTCTCGCTCCGCAACGCCCAAGCACTTTGCATATGCATGTAAATGTAATGCCAAGTTTTTCCGAGTGCTCTTCGCAGAGCATAAAGACAAAAGGCAACAGCAGCTAGCGCCAGCGCCCCACCAGCCGACAGATGGCGCTTTTGTCTTAACCCATTTCGCTGTTTTTTACTCAACTAAATCGCACGACATGAAAACATAATTTTACTTCAAATTGCAATGACAGTTGCAGCAGCCACGCCCACACACTTGCAATTGCAAAAGCACCAGGGTTTTTACACACACACACACACACACACACACGCACACACTCGCATTTGTCCTGCTGGGGAGTCGCATTCACATGTATGCAGCTCTCTGTTGCCTTTTGTTATGGCGACTGCGACGAGGACGACTGCGAAAAATTCCATTTCAATTGTTTGCTTAGCTTATGCAGTTGTGTTAAGCAAAAAACAAGATGAAAAAAACGTGTGTGCATGGAATGGAGCGCAATGGAAAGCAAAAAAGTGCGAAAGCCTTTAAAGCCAAGTCGCTGGCTGTAGCTGCGACTGCGACTGCGACTGCGACTGAGGCCAAGGCAAGAATTCATGCAGCAGCTCAGCATGAATTTCATTATGCTCGAAGGCGACAAGTTGCAAGGTCTCTTGGCAGTGGCAAAAACAATTAAGATATTGCTTTGACCAGATTCCCTCTCACCTGTTTCCTGCATTCATGCCAGAGCATACGTCTCTATGCCATATGTAAAACCCTTGAAATCTGTTGCCAAACTCTGCACTTACAACGACTTTTTCTTCCTCTTACAACATATGACAGCTTTTTGTTTAGATTTCCTAAGCCCAATTGAAAAGGCGAACGCAGAACATGATGCTTTCCTTAGAAGGTTTGTAACAGGCAGGAGGAGGCGTGGGTGCAGCTCAAAGGTATATATGCTTGATCTGAGTTGAGAGTCGAGTGGAATTATATAACTTTCTGTATGATCTCTGGGCAGCAGCTTAACAGCTAGCTTGTCTAGTATTTGTAATACAAAAGTTTTCCGACCAAGTTAAAGTCAATAGAAATGAATTTCCAACTTCAGTTGAGTTGCTAGCCAAAATTTTACAAATAAATCTTTAAAAATTATTCCAAAATCAATAAATGAAAAGAAAACTTAAAGATTAGAAGCTTGGCCTGTCGTTTTTCTTCAGCTAATGTAGTCATGTTCAGGCTCCAAGAAGACAAAATCAGACAATAGATTGGGAAACAATTAAAATAGTTAATCATTCCCAACTGTTCTGTACATTTATTGAAGTCAAATTTATGCTCAAAAAAGATAAGTTTTCTGAAACAGTTTGAAGTCTGGGTATTTGTTAGTCGTGCGCTCTCAACTCTCAACTAGCACTTGGCAGTCCGGGTATCAGTTAGTCGATGACTGCCAGCTATCCTCTAGTTAACGAACAGATATTGCACTCATAGTCAGGCTCTGAAAACTGTATTAAAATAGTTCACAGTCCTATCCTGTGACTTATATACAGAATTGTGTCTCTGAAAACTGCATTATTTTGAAGCAGTTGCCAGTTGAGGTATCCGGGTATTAGCTAGTCGTTCCAACCCAACAATCCTATGACATATATTGAAGACATTCTTCTGAAACAGTTGACAGTGCGGGTATCTGTGAGTCGTTTACTCCCAACTATCCTCTAGGTAACATGCAGAGACTGAAAAAATTCTTCTGAAACAGTTGACAGTGCGGGTATCTGTGAGTCGTTTACTCCCAACGATCCTCTAGGTAACATGCAGAGACTGAAAGAATTCTTCTGAAACAGTTGACAGTGCGGGTATCTGTGAGTCGTTTACTCCCAACGATCCTCTAGGTAACAGGCAGAGACTGAAAGAATTCTTCTGAAACAGTTGACAGTGCGGGTATCTGTGAGTCGTTTACTCCCAACGATTCTCTAGGTAACATGCAGAGACTGAAAGAATTCTTCTGAAACAGTTGACAGTGCGGGTATCTGTGAGTCGTTTACTCCCAACGATCCTCTAGGTAACATGCAGAGACTGAAAGAATTCTTCTGAAACAGTTGACAGTGCGGGTATCTGTGAGTCGTTTACTCCCAACTACCCTCTAGGTAACATGCAGAGACTGAAAGAATTCTTCTGAAACAGTTGACAGTGCGGGTATCTGTGAGTCGTTCACTGCCAACTCGAACACTTTCACTTGTTTCTTTCTTCTTTAGCCATGACAATTATGTTGCACATCTTTTGCAGTACTTTGGGCAGCAGCAGCGAAGCTCACTTGCAGCTGTGCTTCAACGACATTGTTGACTGCTGTGAACCATTAGCATTTTAATTAAATTTTTGTTGTTTCTCCCACACACACGCTCACAGAGTGCAGGTATTTCTGGCAGCAACTTTTTTGTGCCTGAACAGTTTTCAATAAAGATGGGCTCTTGGAACTTACCCACAACGGTCATTGTCTCCGACTCGGAGACGGTGTTGAAGGCGGGCGCCTCGCCGGAGACCTCGCAGCGATAGAGGCCAGAGGTTTGGAGCGTAACGCGTCGCAGCATTACCTGCGTGTCCGACGAGTTGCGCAGCTAGAGTAAGAGAGAGAGAAATGTTTGTTAAATATATATTTTGCAAGTGGAAATTCAAATAAATTACAAAGCCATGACTCGACAAGGCAGCCCAAAGTGAAGGCAATTAGATTTACAGATTTTCACATTCTCACAATTTGAGTGAAAAATTAAGATTGATGACGATTTGTGGCGCTCACAAAAAGAAGTAGAATAGAGTGCTATTCGTTATTAGGGGCTGTGGGCGTGCCCGAAAATGTAATCTTGGCCAAGAGCTGAAGCAGAGCAGAAAGCACAAGTCATAAGGGAAAGCCAAAACAAGCAATGAAATATCTAGAAACAATCGCAACATTCTCTAGTTGATGATTACATAGACGCAACTCTGAGTGTGTGTGCGTAGTCAGTGCCGAACGCATGAGAATGTAAGTGGAAGTGGGAAGTGATGGGAGATGGCAGTTGGCAGTTGGCAGATGGGAGATGAAGAACTGAATGTTGTAAAAGTCACTCAACATCTTTGCCAGAAACAATTGCAGTCAAGTTCTTTAAGTTGCAGTTTTATTATCACACACACACACACACATATGCACAACACACACACTCGCACACACATAGTGGAAAGTGCTTGCCAAAGTTTTCATTTCTTTCCATTTTACTTGACGGAGGCTACCCGAAAAACTTGTCGAGCAAATTTTTATGAAAATTCTTGACTCTACTCCGCCCATCGAGCGCTGCTCTCTCTCCCTCTCTCTGTGCTGCTGCTGCAAACAATCACAAAAGTCACGTTCAACATTATTTTTGGTTTGTTGCTTGTCCTCGTCCCTGCTGCAGCTGCTGCTGCTGCTGCTTACTTCCATTACCCCTTTACAATGCCACTGCGAACTGGGTTTTGTTTGTTTCTTTCTAGTGCTTAAGCCGATTCCCTTCGAGCAGTGGACTGAGTGCTAGATAGAAACTCTGGCTCCGAGTCTGGCAATTGCTATGAGCGCTCAAGTTGTCAGCGCCCGCTACACAAACAAAGTCGAGCGGGCAGCGGGACTCAGGCACAGGCACAGGCACAGGCCTGGCTGCAATTCAAATTGTAGACGTTTATAGAGAGGGGAAGGATGAGGCAGGGGCAGGCAGAGGGTTTCGCATTTATTGCATTCCCCCCTCTGGATACGTGCGCACAGCCATTTGGGTTATGATGGCTGCAACAAAATGCAATGCCAACAATTTATTGTGATTCGCAACCCGTTAAGCGTAGCAGCACTCAAGGAATTTTTATGAAGGTGCCAAACTATTTATGCGCTAATGCGCAAAACCTGTTGAGAGCTTCAATAAGAAACAACAACAAACTAGATCAAGCTACAATGTAGCCGAAAAGGAACTTTAAAAGCTGGCCGTACTATAAACAACTAGTGACTGTCGTTAATTGGATTGCTCACTACACACACACAGACATGTACACACTTTAAGCACATTTGAAGTATCAGCAATTATCCTAGGCAAGCCACAATCCATGTCGCCTAACAACAGCCGAGCCTTTGTTCTAATCACGCAGGCGAACGCACATAAATATCTGTTACACAGGCCACACTTGGACACAACTCTTTCATGTCTAAATGTAGACATTCACGCCTACGCATACGCACAGAGAGAGCGTGAGAGAGACCGAGCCAGAGCACGCACAGGCCATAAAAAATAAGTCGCGCTGGTATTGTTCATACGCCGCGTTAGCCATACGTCAATTGCTCACGGCTTTGCTTCGCTTTCCTTTTTTTCTGCTGATGCAGAAGCCAGGCATTGGGGCGGTGCGGGGCGGGGCGTGCTGTCAACAAAATGCCACACAAAGTAGACGCACTTAAGTGCTTTAGCAAATTATTATTATTATTAGAGACGGGCGTTCGAGGATTGAGGATTGCGGATTGAGGATTGGCAGCTTTAAGTGATTTTGGCCTCGGTAACCTTTTCAATCGCAATTGAAACTGAGTGACGTGTACAATGTACGTTAAAGAGCTCAGACCGCAACGTGACCTAAGCTAACCCAGCACACACTGCGGCGCGGCTGGGAGTGAAGGGCGAAGCAAACATTTTTATGGCTAACAAAAAATTACATCAACATTAAATTAAAGTTAAATGGCAAAACTACGTGGCAGCAATTTCAAAGGCAACTGCGCTGCAACAAGATGTTGCTGTTGCTGTGGCTCTGGCAATTACATGCTCTTTGCAAATAATCATTATGACTCGGCCGTAATACTAAATTTCGCCCTGCTGCCAAATAAAAGTTTAAATCGAGTTTTTTTTTTTTTTGGTTTTTTGGTTCGGGCTGCAACAGGTGCTGGCAATACTCACATCGATGTTGACGCCGGGCAGCGGGAACGCCTGTCCAGGTGGCTTGTCCCGCGGCACATAGCGGTAGATCTCGTGGCCGTCCTTGTACCATTTGACCGAGTAGAGCGACTCGCCATCGAGCGCATAGCGGCAGCCGAGCAGCGCGCTCTTCAGCCGCATTATGTGATTGGGTATCTTCACCTCGGTCATTGTCAGCGCGCTGGTTATATCTGCAATTAGTGAATAAAGCGAGCGTCATTTAGTTTTGGCTCTATTCGGAATTCTCAATTGTTTCGCGGCCATAAAACCAACTCTATCTGAGGTAGCTTAGCTCCCTTTTATGATCTCTTTAACTTTTACGGCCCACATTTGTTGCTGCTGCTGCTGCTGCTGCTATAATCGTGGGGATTTATTAAAAAGCTCACGAGCATGCGAGCATAGACAAGTTATATAGCAGCGCATAACGCTTAACTATGCATGCAATTTTCAAGTACCAAACATAAATTCTTACGAACGAAATTGTGCTAGGGTTGCATCAAGTTTTGATAGCCAAATAGCTAAGGCAATGCAGTCAATGCTTGATTGGAAATATTTCTGCCAGCTTGATATAGGTGTGTGTGATAGCGATAAGAGTCTTGCTGTGCAGCGAATTGAGAATGAAAATTTTTACTGAGACGCAAATGCCTCAACTATGAATATTAATATAAAAATAAGAGTAAGCAGTAAGAGCTGGCCCATGCGTGCACTCTTAACCAGCTCTTCATTTGTGTTGCAAGTAATCAAAACTCTTTGAATTTGAAGTTAAAGGCGATCGATTGTGTTTAGAGACAGCAAAGCTTTTGGAGTAAGACGAGAATACGATGATATAAAATTGTGATTATATGAGATATGTGTGAAGTACTCAATGAAAAACTATTTTAAAGCATTTAGCTTTGCTTAAGGCTCAGCTGCAACTGGGAACATCAGCAGAGATGACAACATTAAGCACAAAGGCGAGGCTTTAAGCTCCTAACAATAGTCAAAATATAGAGAAGCTTCGATAACCCAAGCGATATCTCACAAACATAACTCGAAACTATGCGACTGACATTGTTTAGCTGCAGCAAGACGAAGGCTGCAGCTGATTGCAGTGTAGAATGAGCCTTGAGATTGACTTTAGTGAAATTTTACAACTGGAAAGTGGCCCATTGCGGGACTTAGCGACTAGCAAGAAGTATATTTTTATATATGTTACTTGAGGGCATGGCAAGTGGGAAAAATCTTTATTTTAAAAAGTTTTGTAAGGGTTTTTTGAACTTGAATAAGTATTATGCAGTCAATAGCTTTCGATGGCTATATTTATATATATATATATTTTTTTATTTATGCCTAAATTTTACATAGACTTTGCCATTCTAAATGTTCTGTTCTAGCTGCTTAGTTTGAGTGATACGTTATATAGACTCGTTTGTTCTGTAAGGCTTTTAGTTGTTTCAATCTTGAGATTGAGATTTATATGAAATCTGATCTGATTGATAACTTTAATGGCTATATAGTCTTGATTCTATTGAGTCTTCTGCTCTGGTGGAGTCAGTTAGGCTGAGGTACAGCTTGTAATGAGATGCTGTTAACTAATTGTTTCTTATGGCTTTGACTTCAGTGTAAGCACGTCAAATAAGATTTCCCCCAAGGCTGAAAGTAGTTGCAAAATTCTCATGCTACTCATATGCAACCAGCACTCACCCTGCATAAACTAGTTTGAATCTTGACTCGCACTTGCGCCTCTCTAAGTCGCTCGCTCTCTTTGTTAAGTTACTTTTAGACACTTCTACAAATATCTCACAATTATAACTGCAAGACTTCAGTTGTGTATGCATCTCCAACTCGACATAAAAACATTTTCAGCTTTCAATTAGCCAAAGCTGGAGAAATTCCCAACACAAACAAAGCTTTGAGCATGAGTGCAAATAGCGTTTAGAGCATGCAAAATTGTTTTATGTTGGCAACATATTTAAAAGCGATGCCTAAATATTCAGTTTGGCATATTCAATCGATTTTTGAATGCATAAATGCCATTTGCAGCTCTGGCCTAAGCCAGAAAAATCGAGCTAGAAGAAGCAGCCCCATATTTTGCATGTAAAATAGAAAGTGCAGTCGGGCAGCAAAACAAATAAAACGAGCAGCGCGAGGGTCCTGCCGGCTGTCACATGAATTATGCCAGCGCGACTGCATATGGAGGCAGTGCAGCGCCGGCAGCGACTCGCTCTGCTTCAGTATTACAAATCGTCTGACCAAAGCAACAGCAGCAGCAGCAAAAAAAAATGGCCTAGAGACGAAAGCCCGTCACTGCAGTCCACAATTCACACAGAGTCTAGCTCTAGATATAAACGCCCAGCCATTTGGTCGAATGCCATAATAAAAGCAACGCCAAAGCGTTTAAATCACAAAAAAATCTGATATTTGCTTTTACGACGACATTTTGGCGCGTTGAAGTTGCACGGCAATTGTGCGGCAGCAACAACAGTTGACCAGCAACGAAACGCCAACAGTCAGTAGCAATTGGCAGTTGCTTTGTGGCAGTTGCCAGTTGCCAGTTGGTAGCTGCCAGCTGCTTGTTGGTTGTTGCTTGTTGGTTGTTGGCATTGCCATGACGTGGACACACCTACTTATTTAATATACAGCTATACTTTTCATTTGCGAATGTGGGCAAAGTTGAAAAGGCGCACAAAAAACAACAAACACACACACACACACATGGAGACATTTGTTAGCTGGCTGTGTGTAACGTATACGCCGCGTGCGCCACCCGTTGAATTTATCACATTCACATGCAAATTGCGCCAAACGACCTTATTATGCAAATTGCCAACTGCAAATGGAGAACGAAATTGATTTTCCTGCATTTCAGCTACAACAACAACAACAACAACGGCAACTACATGTGTGTGTGTGTGTGTTTGCTTCTTCATATGTCGATGGCAATGACTATGGCTGTTTGCTACCTGCCTTCATTCATCCCTTGGCGTCGGCGGCCAGGGCACTCGCTTGTGTTCAACAGTTTTGCAACCGCAGCGCTGCTTGGCTACACCTTGCAACCTGCTCCTGTGGGCGCGAACGACGACGGCGACAAATGGCGAATATATTGAGCTGTCACACGCCCAGCCCCGCAGTCGAAGGCAAACACACGCGCATAATATTGAACAATGTCCCCCCACACACAGACGAAGGTGAATCTGAATCGGAATCGCGACTTTTATATAAAAAGCAAACTTGTGAGCCAGACAATTGCCACAGCAAAAAGGTGAAAACCACAAAATGAGTTAGTTGTTTGCCAGTCAGCGTGTGTGTGTGTGTGTTTACTTGTGGCCAACAATTTATGGCAGACATCATAAAAAATAACAACAGCAGGCGAAATATATAAGAAAGGATAAACATAAAGGAAAAACTCGTGCATTATAAATTCATTTCCGTTTTATATTATATGCGAGCTGCTGCCTTGCCTGACAACAACAACAATTGGGTTGAAATAGGCAATAAAATGTGCTAATAAGCAAAAGATTTGTGTCACTTGCAGCGGAAGCCTGGGCAGAAGCAGCTAAATTGTGCGATTTCATTTACATATTTTTGCTTCCCAAACAACTTTTGATTTCTTTATAAATATTGTCAGACAAACAGGTCAAGAGGTGAATAGATATTAAATGTTATCATATATTCATATCATATATTATCAAAGGATAACAACTATTTTTTAAAACATATGAATTTTATTAGAAAAATAATAAAATAAATTAAAATTAAATATTAACAAAAAAAAAAATGTAAACAAAAATTTTATATATAAATTAAAAAATATAATAACTTATGCGATGAAAAAATAATATGGGAGTATATAAAAATTAAAAACAAGACGAGTTTAATTTTATTTAATGAACAGCATATATTTTATTACCTTCATTTAAATATAAAAATTATTTAGCCATTCAGATTTTGAGTAAAACAATTACCATTTATAAAACTCAGTTAAAAGCCAAGACTAACTAAATTTCGTCTATAAAGTTTTTCAGTTTTGCTTTATATATGTCCGTACCTGTTCTTTTTATTAGCTTTCTATTCAACTCAAGGCCCGGACTGTCTACGCCCATTTCTAAACGCCCACCGTTCAAGTAAATGCGCCTTAATTGCAGTTACTGACATTTGACTTTATAAATTGGCCTCGGCCTGTGTGTGTGCCTAGAGTTCTACTTCGGTTCGGTTTCCTTTTAAACGCAATGCCGTTAGCAGCGTAAATGGCGTGTGTCCTTTCACTGTTATCCTGCAGCAAAAATGCTTCAAGTCAACAGCAGCAGTGCCAGCAGCGCCAGCAACAACAACTGACTGCACATTAAAAATTAAAAAAGCGAACTTCGACATGGGCTCCAACTTCAGCTATACCAGCTCCCCGGTCCACGGGTCCTGCAAAGGCGTAGCCAGTGGCAAAGCCAAAGCCAAAGCCAAAGCTAACGAAAAAGTTGAAACAGCCAACAACAACAAGGAACACGAAGAAGAGGATGAACAAGAAGAAGAAGCAAAGTAATTTCATGCATCGTTTAATTTTCATTCGAGCTTAATTTGTGCAACGCCCCCTCCATCTGCTACAGTTGACAACCCAAGCAACGATCACAGCCAACACCCAACACCAAACACCAAACACCAGACAGCAGACTCCCATATCATATGACAGCACTTCTCATTGTACTTCTGCCCCTTCTTTGATTGCTGTTATTGTTGTTGTTGTTTTAAATGTTGTAATACCCCATTTAGACCTAATACCCGACAGCCACTTCCAGCAGCAACTCACAATTGAAACGGCAAACAGAATAAATGCCAAGCAGACGCCGAGTCTAAACAAAAAGCCAAACACTCAAGCACACACACACACACACCAACACACACACAGCTGAAATTGACGCCTAAAATTTTGAGGCAAATAAAATTAAATGAAGCGCACCCCAGCAAAAAATACTCAACCCCTGCAGCGCAACCCACTCGCAGTCTTTTCAGTTGCTCTCAACTCTTTTGATATTATTTCTAGATGTTTTTTCCTTTTCATTTAAGTAGCAAAGTTTAGCTGCGTATTTCAGAGGCATTTTTCATGCGTTTTTATGTTAGCATTGCATTTAATTTTTACTTGAGTTGAGTTATGCCTAACATTTATTTTTGTTTCAGTCAGACTTTAAGGTTTTTGCTGGTGCTGAGTTTGTTATTGTATATT